CAGCGTAGCTGAACAGCCATTTTCTCTGGCAAACCTTTCGTGAGCTTCGGAAGGTCCCTGCGAAAAGGGGCCATGCCCAATCTCAGGTTTTTGTCACGTTTTCTCACCTTTTCCAGGACCAGGTGTCCCAGGCCCTGGCTGGGGCAAAAAGTGGTCACTCCTGGCGAAAACGCGAAAAAGTTGGAAAAAGGGGCAGAAACAGGTGAGAACACGAAACACAGGTGGCCTCCCAGCGGGGCTTCTTGGGGGTCTCGGTGGGGGCCTGGGTCCCAAGCCCTTCCCAGGTCCCAGAACATCCCGGATTCCGAGCAGAACCAACAACCTTATCAAAGCAATTACATTTGAAGGTCCAGGTAAATCCTGAGTTCTCATAAGTCTAAACCCTCCAAAGCGCGGAAGCCTGACACCCAAAACCCTGAATCCGCAATGTGCGTGCCGAAGACGCTGACCTACCCTAAGCCGCCCCAAACTATGAAACCCCCAAAAATGCGGACGCTGCAGGAACATTCCTAGTTAATTACAAAGGTCACGGGTCTTAGATTCCTTGTCGAATTACATATGCTACAGGTTATAGTACGGGGTATTTCAACTAGACCTCAACTTCATATTTGCCATTATGTATGCCCCCAACCGCCTTCATATACCCCTGATGTAGATCCAGTTTCCATGTGACTCTCCATGACCAGGGTAATATTCCTACATACCCTCATAGGCCTATGTAACCCTCCATTTGCATCCTAAACCCTAAGATCTAAACCTAAATCCTAGACCGTAAACCCTAATTCCTAAACCCTAAAACCTAAATCTTAAACCCTAGACACTAAACTCTAAACCCTAAACTCTAAACCTTATCCTAAACCCTAAAACCTAAACCCTAAATCCTGAATTGTGACATGAACCCTAAAACCTAAACCCTATCGCTAGGGCATGCCGGGCCCTGGGCCTTGCGGTCCACCCCCAGGGCCTTGTGGGCCCGGAGGCGCGGCCTGGCAGCAGCAGGCAAAGCTGGGACTTGGGGTTTTTAGGGGTATAGGGGTTGAAGGTTGAGGGTTTAGGGATTTAGGGTTTAGGGTTTAGGGATTTAGGGTTTAGGGGTTTTGTTTAGCATTTAGGATTTACGGTTTAGGGTTTAGGGATTTAGGGTTTAGGATTTAGGGTTTTAAGGTTTAGGGTTTAGGGATTAGGGTTTAAGGTGTGGAGTTTAGGGTTCGGGGTTTCAGGTTTACGTGTTTAGGGTACTTTTGATGGGACAAAAACAATCTAGTTTCCATACATGGGGGACCCCATCGTAGACCCCCAAATGCTGTAGTCTTGGGGGCGGGGGGGGCAAGTGAGCGACTGGTAGCTAGTCTTCTCACCCAAGAGAATCACTCCGAATTTGTCCCCATGAAAGCCCTTGTATCTTGGGGGACAGATTTTATCTCAGGGAGGTTGGCGTTTTGCAACAAATATGGTTGGATCAAACCAATTTGGAAGTACCAAAGCCGTGACTTCGAAATCTCCCCTATGCTGCCTTGAACATGCCCCTGGGGTCTTTTTGCAGAACTTGCCCTCAATGTAGATTTTAGGAGGGCTTGAAGTATAGTATGCCCCAAGGCCCTGTTTTAATTAATGGCTCTACATTACCAGCCTTCTAAGCCCCTGCACCAACCCAGTTTCACTATGATTGCCCGTTTGATTCTCCGTTATTGCTTAGCTCGGGTCCGGTCAGCGGAACTAGATTGGGTACTGCCCCCACCCAGTAACAGTCTATATTAGGGGTCCTATTAAGGGATACATGTAACCATATTATGCTTCTTATCCAACTGTTACTGAGGGGGAAGCAGTACCCAAGATTTAGATGTAACACAGCAGAACTGGACTCAACGGTCAGGGCCCGGGATGGTGCACGCAGCAGCAGAGCTATGAAGGCCGCCGTTGGAGTTCATTTTTGGGATTCTCGCTTTGGGCCCAGGTTCTTGAAGTTTGCATCACTCCCGAATTCCTTGAGCCCTGAGCCCTAAACCTTAAACCATATAAGCCTTGAATAAACCTTACGCCCAAACCTTGAATAACGTAAGTTAAATAATCTGGGTCTATACTACATATTCGCGCGTCCCCGTTATAGTAACTTAGTTTAAGCACGCACCTGTTTAACACGCACGTTTCAACATTTCAGGTATGTACAGTCTGAGTGAAGACCAACGGTGCAAATTCTGAGGGCCAGGGAAAACAGCATCTAGATATCTGATCCTTCAGCGGCCGCGCAGAGAGCTACAACTTCATCTGAGCTACAGTATCAACTCCCAGTTAGTGACCCTTACAGTAGTCCCATATATGACTCCCTATATTTAAAGAGTTTAGTTTACAGCTCACCTGAAGACAAGGGGCAGCGATGCTCTAGGTCTTTGTTTGTGCCCCTGCAAACCAAATTTCAATCAGGCTTCCAGAGCCAGCAACCCTTTTTCCTGGATATGAGGTGGTTTATATAGGGTTATATAGGGTTTATATAGGGATAATGGAAAAGAAAATGGAAACTACCATAATGGGATTGTATAGGGTTTAGGGTTTAGGTGCCTCAGTAGTGCCCGTTTCCCCTTTTTGTTACGGGGTCTCTTTATTAAACCTGAATAGTAGGAAAAAGGGTGCCCTCATTATTAAGGGGTTTACTGGGGAACCTAGAAATCCTTCCGTCCAAGAGCGGCAGAATCTTGAAAGTACTGTGGAGGGGGCCTGTGTGTTTCGAATCATGTTTGACGTGCATCATATCAGAATCTGTTCATGTTTTGGCACAGAATACCCCAGGGCCCATATGTACTATGTAGTAGCTCCTTCTTTGGGGTTTGTTATAATGTTGTGGTAGGGGATTGCAATAAACAACCCAGATTGAAAGGAATTAACGCAGGAGTCAAATGAAGCTCTGGGTAAGGGACCCCGGCATGGTTTGCCGGCAAGTCTCTTACTGATATCTACTTAGTTGGGAATTGGGTTAGGGAACCAAAGGATGTGTTAGGCCCTGCAATCTATATAAACCCGTTCCCCCATCCCCAACTGAGCATGAACAAGCTTCTTGTGGTGTGACGCAATTGTTTTGTGTCAAGGCAGGGTGAGAATTCTGCTCTACACCGCCGCTTCTTAAGAAGCACGGGTCAGGGTGCAGGGTTTGGGGTCGAGGGTTTAGGTTCACGAGACAGACACTTCTGATACTTGCCATGCGCAAGTTATGACACGTTCCCCAGAACTGTTGCCCTCTCCCTTGTCTTGCTGTAGATGACCCATGCCTTTCAGAACAGATGGAACAGATCCTCTAGCCCCAGCAGCCAAAGCTAACAATCCAGCCTTATAACCGCATACGATCAGCGATATCCCGGCACCTACAGTAGAGAACACATCCACCCCCGCCGACGTGAAGTCACCTAGGCGCATGCAAAGCTAGGAGTGGATCCCATCGCTAAGAATGTGTAAAAGCGTAGGGGTCAAGGTACGCCGCAAAAACCATCCCATGAAATTTCCAATAGTCCCCTAAACCCTAATATGGACCCTTATGGAATTGCCAGAAACCATCATAATCCCTTTAAGCACCAGAATATTCCCTGCTGAAGTTTTTGTACAAAACGCTTTTGGCCCAACATGGCCCTGGCTTTGCCCGTGTTGGCAAGGCAGTCAGGGCTTCTTGGCTGTATTCCGGGGTAGTGTTGGGGTGTTTGGGGTTCAGGGCTTAGGGTTTGGGGTTTAAGGACTTAGGGTTTGGGGTTTGGGATCTAGGGGTTGGGTTTAAGGGTGTGGGTTTTGGGATTGAGGGTCCAGGGTGCCAGAACATGGGTCAGCGAAGTTTTCTTTGACTGCAAGGCTTCAGGGGGACCATGGCAAGAATCTTGTAGTTTGCGGGCCATCTCCAGCGTGAGCTGTCAACTTGCATACTCCCTGCAAGACCCAGCGCCCAGATCCTGCACACCCGGCTACGGCTAGCATATCCGGCAGTTGTCCTTTAGGGGGGTTGGGGAACACGAGCATACTCCTGACAAGAAGTTGTGGCCCGTAAGAGCATGAAACACCATGATCTTCCTTCAGGCGAAAGACCACACATTAAAAAGCAGCAAATCGGCCCACAAGCTGCTAGAAGCCTAAATGAACATCCTAGGTAATTTGTACAAGCCTCATGCGAGTCTCAGTTGAGTCAGCACCTCTCACGCTAAACTTGCCCAAAATCAAAGTGGGGATGGCATTATGGACCATAGGTCTACATGAAAAGTGTCTCTTGCAGAGTTATTAGATCCCTTCAACAGATTTGCGGGCACATCCACGCCCTAAACCCTAAGCCATGTGCTCCAGACGCAAGAGCCCTAAAATTCTAAAACCTGATCTCTCAACCCTAAATCCTACACGAGCTACAATCTTAAACTAGTATCACCCGTATAATACTCCCCTATCTAATGCCCCGTAAAAACCCTTCAAGGAATATAAACTAGAGCTCACGTACTCCCTCAACCCTAAATCCTCCCTAAACCCTAAATCCTAAACCCTAAACCCTAAATCCTAAACCCTAAATCCTGTAAACTCTCAGCCCCGGACTTCGACTTCAGCTTTAGACCAGGCTCTCGGCTAAAGGTCCTGGGCATGGAGAAATCAATGCACGTCAGCTGCACAATGAGCCGTTGTTTAAGGATTAGGGGGTTCAGGATTTAGGGTTTAGGGAGAAGGGTTTCGGATGGTTTCGGGTTTGGGGATTAGAGTTTGGGGATTAGGATCTAGGCTTTAGGGATTAGGGTTTCGGGTTTATTAGGGTTTAGGGATTAGGGTTTAGGATGCAGGGATTGGGGATGAGGGTTTGGGGATAAGGGTCTAAGGTTTAGGGTTTAGGGAGCTACAGTGGATGTAGAAAGTCCAGCACCACCCTATCTGGGGTTTGTCGAAAGTATGGTCTCGTTTTGGATGCTTGTTCTCATAGGCCCGCTAAGAGGTAGGACACCCGTAAAGAGACAGTAGTTTGACCACCCTCGTATGACCCCTTTATGTGTTGAATGGAGTTGGGTGTTTTAGTCGTGCTCAAAGGGGGACTATGGAGGGAAGATGGGTAAACTTGCTGGGGATTAGTTACAGAGATGCCGAAACTCTAAATGCTCCTCCACTCCCTCTTGAGCAACAGTGGAGTGGTGGTGTTTGCATGTCCCTAGGTTGGGGTCATTCAGCTACGTTCATGGCAAGCTTTAACATCTACCTGTCCACCTTTAACTTTCTTGGGTAATATAAAGCCTAGGGTTTAGGTTTTAGGGTTTAGGTTAACATGATCCGAAGGGTTTCCTTTGGGAAAGCTTCGGCTAGTGCACAACCAAGGAGCTCATGTTTGGGATGCGCTGAAGTATCGGGCAGGGTCATTCTTGGCTTCCAGTCGTACGCCTGAGAAATCCCTAAATTCAGCAGTTGTGCGCAGTAGAAACATCAGAGAACGCAACTACTCCGCGATCTCATTAAGCCTACCCAAGCCTTCAGACCTTCTTGTTCATTTATTCGTTATATGCCAATATGATAGTAGTCCTATACCCGTATGTGCCAAGAAAATCATTTTAAAGGCACCCGTCCCCACAACCTTCAGGTACAGCGCCCGAGGCCTTTGTGGTGTGGGCGGCGATCCAATTGCACAGCACCGGCGGCTTTGTTTCTTTTCCTTGCTCGAAGGCACTTGAGCTTCTCAATATGGGGATTCCCTAGGTACTAGGGACCCTGGGGAATGCTTAGGGACTGTGATTGTCCCTAGGAGAGATTCTAGAAGGATTCTTTTGAGACATAGCCAAGTTCATGCTAGGAGTGCATGGTCTAAGCCTGCCACTGCACTTGGGTGTTTGTTGTAGACTTCGAAGACCTCAAGCTAGGTAGCATGTATTGCCTTGGTTCAGAGATCTGTTAGTGTCTTGGGAACTCAGTCCTCATTCTCAGTCGAAAGCGTATGTTGGTCAGATCAACGCGTTTATGGGTTTCAGTTAGACTCACTTGATGACATACTTGGAGGGGCGGGTGCACTTAGTCAGTGTACTTCTAGCCCCGCTAAACTCTAAACCGTATAGTGGCCCCGCTTGATTATCCTAACTATTAACCTACCTACTACGTCCCCCTGACCTTCCAAGTAGTGGCCCAGGTTTTGTCTTGAAACAGCCTTTAAGACTCTGCTCTAGCCTCTGCGCCCTGGTGCCAAGAGGCACTTCCGAAAGAACCGAGTCCTACGAAGCAGCCGGCAAAGTTCGCGTGAACCAATCACAGGCAAGAGGTTTGCAAAAAAATACATGCAAGTTTCCCTAACAACGGGGACCCCAATATAGACCCGAAAATGCTATCCTAGGGGTGGAGGTGCCGTTGCGGTATCAGCTTAAAGGTGCACTCCAGGAATCAAGCATGGTCGCAGGCTGCTTTGGGGTGTAGGGCTGCGTAGTTTTGCTCAAGATGTTGGCTTTGCCATGCTGTCTCTCAAAAAAAATGCTATCCTCCTTGCTTGGGGACCCCAGACAAGTACCCACATTTCAGGAAAACCCCATAAATTCTCAGGAATGCTACAATTGCGTCAAGGGCCTTCTTGAGCTGCAGGAAGGGAAAGCCTTCAGGGTCAAGGGTAGCGGGTATATGAGCCATAGTCGAAACTCCTGAAGGGGGGGTTATATCGGGGGTTATATAGGGGACGACTGTAGGGCCCATTAGGGAAGATACTAGGAGTTTAGACGATGGCTCATACATTTGTTCATTTGTTGCTCTTGTGGCTTCCGCGTATGTATTCTTTGGCCTGCCCCGACATGTTCGAACATTCCCAGGCTGTTCGGATGCATGGCTTAGGGCTTCTGGCCACGGCTGCACCCCCTGAACAGCAATAATAGTTATAACAGAAATAGTCTTATTCAGAATGCTACTATAATAGTAATAGCAGCAATATCAATATTCAGAAAATATTGTACTGTGCCCCGCTCGCAGCACCCGTCTTACACCAGGCCCATCGCTAACGGCCACTCTGGAGCAGCTTCCCATCTTCAGGGATGTGAAGATTCCCTCCTTCAAGGACGAATCGCAAGGGATATGGTAGTTCCCAAAGTAGGGGGACCCCAAGACGGGCCCAAAAATATTATAATCCGTATTATGGGGCCTCCCAAAAGGTACCCATGATTTGGGAAATTCCCTTATAACGGCCGAAGCAGCCTCCAGTGCCTAGAGAGGGCATGGAAAATGTTGTGTGCTTTCTGTGGAGAGAAGCAGCAGCATATGCCATCGCATTCTGTTGAACCAAGCTGTCAGTTACGAATGCGCACGCTATCAGCATACATAGCACTGAATTACAAATAGCGCTTAGCGCGATTGATCCGGGGTTACAAGGGTCATGTTGCAGGCGGAACATGACTTTTCACGATGTTCAAGACTACTTGGAACCTCTTCCTCTAGCACTTTACCAAGCTTGCCCAACGCTATACGCTGTAACACATATCCTTCTCACTTCACTTTGCCGACAATCTGTTACGAACTTCCAAGTTTCTGGTGAACACGCTTAGGGGCCCATGTTTCAGATGGGTATGCCTGAGTTAGACGTGTAAGAAGTTGGTTTGCAAGTGTGTTAGTCGAAAATGCTTTGGCTAAAGGGTCCTGGCATGTCCTAGCCTTGCAACAAAAGACTTGATCTGGTTGTAGGGAAGCGCTATTCCTAGGGGTCCTGGAAGCCAACAACAACGCCCTAAGCCCTGAAGTCCTAACCCTAAATAGAAAAAGCACGATGGTACTGAACGATTCCCAATCATACCCGTACCATACATGCCAAATTCCATGAAGAGGCGAACCCGTTGTTTGACCCAAATACGTTATAGTGCTGGTTCTTTTGCAGAATCCATGGTCTTGGGAAACCCCAAGCCCTGTATATCCCTAGCCTAGATACCGCTGGATAACCCTTTGTGGCCCTTTTAAAGGGAGCCCGAAACTGGGAAGCCCCAGGATTTGCAAGCCGCTGCAGCAGATGCGAGCATCAGCGCTGCTCTGCCCAAGTACTTTGACAGTCTCAGCCGAAGTTGGCAGGCACAAATTTTATTATGGGAGTCCTTATTTGGGATCATTCAGGGTTTATAACTCAATTGCAGGGATCTCGGGCTATGTGTCCTTAGGGGAATTTACATCGCATTGGGGTTATGTAGAGAAGCTATAGGGATGATCGATGGTTTGGGGATGTACGGGTCATAGGCTTACGGGATCAACGGCAGTCTTTTTTGAGTTTCGGGCTCTAGTCTTGGAGATGTTGTGAAGGGTCTGATTCAGGGAATTGGGGGGCATGGGATCATGTCAATCAACTATTGTAGGGTCTGAAGGGAGTGAGTTAGTTCTACTACCCATACTTTTGGGGGGAGCTAAGGAGCTAGGGATAGTCTATATCAATATAATAAGGGGTGCTAAAGAGCCCAGGAATCTCCAAAACCATAGGGTTTTCAAGTACTCCTTGGCACTTAGCTAGGACCTTAGACCC